CAATCCGAACCTTCATCTCAACCCGAGCGGGGCATTCACCGTAGCCCTAACCCCAAGCCTGACCCCGACGCTTATCCTACTTCCTACTGCCAACCCCTCCTCTTGTTTCCATTACACCCCTGCCGCCCTAACCCCCGTGACCCGTGAACTCTGCCCCATCGGCCGTGCCCTCTTGGCCTCACCCCCCACCCTGTCCCCAGCTGCGATTGGTAGCAGCAGGGGGGGAGGGGGAGAGGGGGGGAGGTGGTGTTTCCCTCTCGAGATGCAAAAAAAATGCATTAATTTTTTTTGTTTGAGTTCGTGGCCAGCGCTAGGTTCCTGCAGTTTTCTGTTCTGTCAGCGCAACCTGCTGCTGCGCTTGCACAAGGAGGCCACGTTAAGGGGGTGGGGGTGGGGGGTTAGAAGGGGGGCACCATCGCCTCCCCCCACTCCCACCACCGCCACCACAACCCACCCATACCCCCGGAGTCAAACCACAGGATTTTGCAGGAAGTCTCAAACAATAACGCCCTGGGTCGCTCTCCCTGCTGCTGCTGCTGTTCGCGTTGGCGTCATCGTGACCCCGACCCAGACGATTTCGTAGATTCGCTCGCTCCTAGCTCGGTTTGTTTATCATCTACCCCCCCCGCCCGCCTGCTTTCATCGAGAGCGCCATTGTTCGGCGAGCTCCGGGTCACTGCTAGCCGCGTGATGCCACGGCGGTCCCCTCTCCCCACGCACGCGGCACGAGACGCACGCGCTCGCTTACTCGCTCGGGCACTCAACTCACTCAGACACACACTCAGACACACACTCACTCACTTAGACACACACTCACTCACTCAGACACACACCACTCAGACACACACTCACTCACTCAGACACACACTCAGACACACACTCACTCAGTCACTCACTCAGACACTCACTCACTCAGACACTCACTCAGACACACACTCACTCAGACACACACTCACTCAGACACACACTCACTCAGTCACTCACACACTCACTCAGTCACTCACTCAGACACTCACTCACTCAGACACTCACTCAGACACACACTCACTCAGACACACACTCACTCAGACACACACTCACTCAGTCACTCACTCACTCACTCAGACACACACTCAGACACACACTCACTCAGACACACACTCACTCAGACACTCACTCAGACACACACTCACTCAGACACTCACTCAGACACTTATTCACTCAGACATTCACTCAGACACTCACTCACTCAGACACTCACTCAGACACTCACTCACTAGGGTACTCACTTGCTCGGACAGACACTCACTCAGACACTCACTCAGACACTCACTGACTCAGACACACACTCACTCAGACACTCACTCAAACACTCATTCATTCACTCGTACACTCACTCAGACACTCACTCACTCAGACACACACTCAAACACTCACTCACTCAAACACTCACTCACTCGGGCGCTCACTTGCTCAGACACACACTCACTCAGACATACACTCAAACACTCACTCATTCACTCGAACACTCACTCAGACACACACTCAAACACTTACTCATTCACTCGAACACTCACTCAGACACTCACTCACTAGGGCACTCACTTGCTCGGACAGACACTCACTCAGACAAAAAGACAAAGATCCCCCGCATAGCCTTAACAGACTGTTGGGGCAAGTGCTGTTAGCGAGCACCTGTGAAGGCCGGCACGGCACACGAGTGGGGGATTGTGTCCAGCACCACGCCCGACCGCCTTTGTCTCCCCAGTGGCGATGTTTACACACCGCACCAGGTACTCATTTGAGGCCGAGTCCACCTAAGGAGAGGCCCAGGACCGGTTCAAATAATGGTCACCGGTGTTGGCCGTGAGCGGGAATCGAACTCGGGTTGCACCGGGCTCGTAGCCGCAGCGTGCTGACTGCTGCACCACCGCTCCCCACTCAGACACCCCACTCCGTGCGACGCATGGGGTGGGGTGAGCGCCCGAGCGAGCGAGTTGGGGGGGGGGGGGGCCCAGCGAGCGAGTTGGGGGGGGGGCCTCTCAGCCTCTCTCTCTCCACCACCGATCGTTGTCCTCGTCTCTGCCGGAGCTGTGGCCGTCGTTTCCCGGGGAAACGGTGGTGGGGGGGGGGTCAATGAATCGATTCCAGATGGGGAGGGTCTTGACGAGCGGGACGAGCGGGAGTGCGCGCGCATCTGTTGCACACGTGTGGCGCGCGCGTGCGCACGCACACTCCGCGTGTGGCGCGCGCACGCACGCGCACGCACGAGGCTCGGCTCGGCTCGCCAGGGGCAAACCTCTGCCAGAGCCCGGGCCAATCCTCTTACTGTATGTGGTTTGCTTCGTGGCTATTGTCATCGTCACCGTGAATGAACATCGTCGTAATTTTAATAGTCGTAATTTTAATTGTTGCAATTTTAATAACCGCAATTTGAATCTTCGTAATATTAATAACCGTAATTTGAATCTTCGTAATTTTAATAATCGTATTTTTTACAATCACAATACGCGCGGCCCCATTTGCGGTGACGTGGGGCTGACGAGTTGGGTGGTGGTGGCGATTCGTTGTTGGTGGGGCTGGCGCCGATGGTGGCTCTGGCGGTGGTGGTAACAGTGGTGGCAGAGGCGGTGGTGATTCGTCAGGGGGTGGGATGACACCGTGGGATAACACACGCATCACCCAACCTCGCGAACAGCATCGGTGCTCGCAAACAGCATCGGTGCTCGCAAACAGCACTCGCCCCAACAGTCTGTTGAAGGCCATACGGGGAGGGAGACCTTTGTGTGAGTAGGGAACGATAGGGCAAGTTCTCACTCCCGGGGCCAACATCGCGAACGAACATCTGATCTGGTCCTGGGCCTCCCCTAGGTCGACTCAGCCTGGTGCGGTGTGTAAACAACGTCGGCATTGGTCGAGACTTAAAGGGACCGTCCCCCCCCCCCCCTCTCCCTCGTGCGGTGGCCGTGCCCAGCCTGAACGGTGGCTATGAGATGTTAACTACCTCGCCTGGTATGCAGGAGGTCGTGGGTTCGTTCCCGACCCTGACGATGCCAACTGCTGTATATTTGGAGTTTGCGTGTCTCTCTCTCATCATCATCACGGTGGCTAGGAGATGTTAACTACCTCGCCTGGTGTGCAGGAGGTCGTGGGTTCAATCCCGATTCTGACGAAGCCAACTGCTGTATATTTGGAGTTTGCGGTGTCTCTCTCTCTCTCTCTCATCATCATCGCGGTGGCTAGGAGATGTTAACTACCTCGCCTGGTATGCAGGAGGTCGTGGGTTCAATCCCGATCCTGACGAAGCCTGCTGCTGCTGCTGCTGTATATTTGGAGTTTGCGGTGTCTCTCTCTCCGTGGTCGCGTGGATTTTTCTCCGGGTCCTCCGGTTTTCCCTGCGCATTTACAAACACGCCTTTTAGAGTATTTGGCTGCTACACATTTCCACGTCGATGATGACACCGCCACTTCTCGTTGGGCTTCCGAAAATTATTGCTCCACGCAGCTCAGTGTGGGCCTTCCCAGGTAAAATAAAACATTACGGTAGTACCCCTGTTGACGAAGAATCGCTTAACGACGGGCCTCCAAAGAGCCCAATGTGTAGTGTATAGTGTAGTGGACAATAGTGTATAGTGTAGTGTATAGTAGTGTAGTGCATAGTAGTGTAGTGTATAGTGTAGTGTATAGTAGTGTAGTGTGTAGTTTATAGTAGTGTATAGTAGTGTAGTGTATAGTGTTGTAGTGCATAGTAGTGTAGTGTATAGTGTAGTGTATAGTAGTGTAGTGTGTAGTTTATAGTAGTGTAGTGTATAATAGTGTAGTGTATAGTAGTGTATAGTGTAGTGTATAGTAGTATAGTGTAGTGCATAGGAGTGTAGTGTATAGTGTAGTGTAGAGTAGTGTAGTGTGTAGTTTATAGTAGTGTATAGTAGTGTAGTGTATAGTGTAGTGTACAGTAGTGTATAGTGTAGTCCATAGTAGTGTAGTGTATAGTATATTATAGTAGTGTATAGTATAGTAGTGTATAGTAGTGTAGTGTGTAGTTTATAGTAGTGTATAGTAGTGTAGTGTATAGTGTAGTGTACAGTAGTGTATAGTGTAGTCCATAGTAGTGTAGTGTATAGTATAGTAGTGTATAGTAGTGTAGTGTATAGTAGTGTAGTGTATAGTAGTGTAGTGTATAGTAGTGTAGTGTATAATATAGCAGTGTATAGTATTGTAGTGTATAGTAGTGTAGTATTTTAACGTCCGAAATCGCTGAACGACAAGGTTTCGTGGAATCAATTACCGCCGTTAAGCGCAGGGAGTTCGACCGCGATGGGCTGCTGCTGGCGAACGCGACTCGACAGTCTGTTCAAGGCTACGCGGTGGCGTGGTGGGGGGGGGGTTCTATATGGTTCTATTCGGTAAAGTCACGTAGGTAAAAAATAAAACAACAAAAATCAACAACAAAAATCACGACGCCACAACACAAAGCGGCCTTCAACAGGTGAAGGGACCAGACTGTCTCGAGGACAGTGCTGGAGTGAAACACAGCCAAGCTCAGACCGCGACCTTTAAGCTTGTGTGAGAGTAATTAAGGTGCCTTGACAAAGGAATTAGCATAAAAATTTGCATTTTAATAGGCGGACTTAGCATGATGAAAGGTGGGGAGAGGGTCAACCTGTGCAGGCTGGCGAGGGGGCAAGGTAGAGTCCACTTGCTGGTGGTGTAAAAAGGGAATTTTTTAAGAAGCTGCGAAAGTTTGGGGTACCACTACTTGAAAAATATACTGTACCATTGAAAATTCGTTTAACGTTTGGTTCGATTTAGAACATCTTTCCAATGGTTGCTTGATTTGAAACCATCTTCTCGGTTGAAATCGTGTCTGTGTTTGTAGATCTGAATTGCCTCGTGATTTTTGTTGTTTTATTTTTTTACCCACGTGGCTTTACCGAATGGAACCAAAGAGTATGGATCCTTGCAGTCACGAAGGCTTCCAATCTAGAACTGGGTTCCCTTCTACTCTTTGTGCGCTGCAGTTTGTGAGCGAGAAGATGGGAGGGGCGGAGGGCACGAAGCTGGACGAGGAGTTCACCGAGATGGAGAAGGTACCTTGCCGTGAGTCGCTGCCGTCCACCCCCCACGCGTGCAGTCCACCCCCCACTCGTGCAGTCCACCCCCCACCCTCCACTCGTGTCGTCCACCCTCCACTCGTACAGTCCACCCCCCAAGCGTGCCGTCCACCTTCCACTCGTGCAGTCCACCCTCCACGCGTGCAGTCCACCCCCCCACTCGTGCAGTCCACCCCCCACGCGTGCAGTCCACCCTCCACTCATGCAGTCCACCCCCCCCACTCGTGCAGTCCACCCCCCACGCGTGTAGTCCACCCCCTACTCGTGCAGTCCACCCCCTACTCGTGCAGTCCACCCTCCACGCGTGTAGTCCACCCTCCACTCGTGCAGTCCACCCCCCACGTGTGCAGTCCACCCTCCACTCGTGCAGTCCACCCTCCACTCGTGCAGTCCACCCTCCACGCGTGCCGTCCAGCGGCGGTGGTTGTGCCGGTGGTGGTGCCGGTGGTGGTGGCCAGTAGGGGGCACAGGTGGTGCAGTCATCTCGGTCAGTCAACCCATGGCACCTGGGTTTGTCCCGTGACCTCCTCCTGCCAGCGGGTGTTTGACACTTCACGTGGCCCTTAAAGTGCACATTGCCTGGCGCAAGCGCAGTGGTGACGTGACCACCACTTAGTACCGAATGACGGTTGTTGTTGTTGTTGTTGGTGGCCGGGTGATGGTTCTATGTATGTATGTATGTTGGACTTCTTTTGTAACGTACGTAGCCCACTGTGCTAATTGTAGGTGCGGGGGAAGGACAGCAAACTAAACACAAAAGAAATTAGTTTGCAATTTAGTATTGAGGTGTAATGCAGTTTAGATGTATTGTAGTGTATAGTGTAGTGTATACAGAAGTGTGCGTTGTGTAGTGTATAGTGTATTATATAGTGGTGTATAGTGTATTATACAGTAGTGTATAGTGTATTATATAGTAGTGTATAGTGTATTATATAGTAGTGTATAGTGTATTATATAGTAGTGTATAGTGTATTATATAGTAGTGTATAGTGTATTATATAGTAGTGTATAGTGCAATATGCGTGTCGAACTTACTTTGCAACTGCACTAATCGGAGGTGCGGGGGAAGGACAACAAACGAAACGCAAAAAGCAGCTCGAAAGAAATTCGTCTTAAAAAAACTCATTGTTTTTTTTTAAAACCGCCTCTGTTGGTCCCGGCTGCGGTTAAAGGGGCGGCTCGTGAAGCCGGCCTGAAGCACTGCCCGAGGGGGCGGACATCCATCGTGGAGATGGAGCAGGGAAATCCCGTCCCGTGGCGGCCGCTAAGTGTGTCGCCTGTAGCGTCGCAGCACTGTGAGGCCGCGGCAGCCTTCCGGAGGACTTTTCTCCGGAAGTGGGTTGACAACATCGATTTTAAGTTAAAATAAAGTTTCAAGTCTCACCGCTCGATGGCAGTGGATAGATAGCAACTTCGGATCCGGGGAGACTACGTGAAACTAAACTATTTAAACTATTTATTTTTTAACCAGGTAAGGTCCACTGAGGTGCAATAGCTCTTTTGTCAGAAGCGACTTGGCAATCACGAATGATATCTCACCAAAGCGACTCATCACGTGGACATTTTCAGCTGCCAAATACTATAAACGAACATCGATTTCTAAACGTGGAGGGGAAAAACCGGAGGACCCGGAGAAAAGTCCACGTGACTGCGGGGGGAGAGACAGACACCGCAGACTCCAAATATACAGCAGCAGGCGTCAGGGTCAGGATCGAACTCACGACCTCCTGTATACCAGGCGAGGTAGTTAACATCTCATAGCCACCGTGATGATGATGATGAGAGAGACACGCAAACTCCAAATATACAGCAGCAGGCGTCAGGGTCAGGATCGAACTCACGCGCTCCTGTATACTAGGCGAGGTAGTCAACATCTCATATCCACCGCGGTGCCTCGAGTGGTTGTGGCGGAGCGATGGTTTGGCATGAGACCTCGCGTCACGGATGTCGCGGTTTTGTGTGTGTGGGAATCCAGCAAGTGGACCTGCGCAACAAGGCGGTGGTGGAGCTCATCGCCAGGACGCAGGAGTACCTGCAGCCCAACCCAGGTGAGCGCGGCGAGCGGTTAGCGTGGTGAGCGTGGTAAAGTGGCGAGCGTATGGTGAGCGTGGTGAGTCTGTGCCATGTGTGGACAGCTACCGGTGCGTGCGCATGTGTGTGCGTTCAACTCCAATGTGTGGTTTTTTGTGCGTATGTGGCTGTGCGCTGTGTGTGCGAGTGCGGCGAGCATGGTGATTTTGTGCAATACATGGGCGGCTGTTGGCGCGTGTGTTCGTTCGTTCGTTTCTCAGTCTGCTTGTCCTGGTGAGGGTCGTGGTGGCAGAATGTTAAGTAAGGGCGGTCCACGCCTCCCATTCCCTCTTCCTGGGGATTTCCCAGGCGTTTCCAGGCCCAGTGAGAAGTGCTGCCTGGTAGAGTTCCAATGGGAGTCTTTCGGGGGGGCATCCTTACCAGGTGCCCAAACCACCTCGACTTGCTCCTCTCGATCCGGAGGAGCAGCGGCTCGACTCTGAGGCTCTCCCGGATTACTGAGCTCCTCGCCTGATTACAGAGTGTGAGCCCGGCAACCCCGCGGGGAAGCCTCATTTCGGCCCCTTGTACCCGCGATCTCATCCCTTCGGTCTTTACCCAAGGCTCATGACCACAGGTGAGAGTGGGAATGTAGATCGACCTGCAAATTTTGTTCGAGAACTCAGCTCCCACTTCACTACCAGAGAACGGTAAAGCGCCCACAACACTGCGGACGTCGCACCGATCTGTCCGGCCGATTTCCCCGCTCCAACTTACCGTCACTCGTGAAAGAGACCCCGAAGAGCTTAAACTCCTCCACTAAGGGCCTCTGTCCTGCCCTCACCTGGAGAGAAAAATTCACCATCCCCCGGGAGTGAACCATTACCTCAGATTTGGAGGTGCTCATCTTCATCCCAGCCGCTTCATACTCGGCATCAAACCGTTAAAGTGCTTGCTGGGGATCACAGACTGAAGAGGCAAAGAGGACAACGCCAACCCTTACTGAAAAGATCCTGGGCCACGTCCCGTCGACGCCTCCTAAAATGTCGGATGGTTTGCCAGAACACCTTTGAGGCTGCCCGGTAGTCCCTCTCCATGGCCTCTCCAAACTCCTCCCATGCCCCCGGGCTTTCGCTTCAGCGACTGCTGCAGCTGCCGCCCTCTTGGCAAGCCGGGAGACTTTTTTCTGAGCATGGTTTGGAAAGCCTCCTTTTTCAACTTGACAGCTTCCCTCACCACTGGTGTCCACCAGCGGGTCCGAGAGTTGCCGCCATGACAGGCACCAGCTGCCGTCAGGCCACCGATTCTGGCAGCTGCATCCACAATCGAGGTCCCGAACACCGTCCACTCGGACTCAATGTCCACGACCTCCCCTGGAGTGCAGGAGAAGTTTTCTCCGGAGGTGAAAGTTGAAATATTTCTGCACTGGATCTTCCGCTAGACGTTCCCAGAAAACTCGCATGATTCGCTTGGGCCTTCCACTTCTATCTGGTCGGTGCCCGAAGCGTCGGATGCAACTTTACCACCAGGTAGTGATCAGTTGACAGCTCTGCCCCTCTCTTCACCCACGTGTCCATAACATACAGCCTTAAGTCCGATTACACAACTATAAAGTCAATCATTGACCTTCGTCCCGAGGTGCTCTGCTACCAAGTACACCTATGAGTATATTTGTGTTTGAACATTGTGTTTGTTATTGACATTCCATGACTAGCGCAGAATTCCAATAACATCTCACCGTTCAGGTTCAGATCGGAGGGGGGGGGGGGGCATTGCTCCCAATCACGCCTCTCCAGGTATATCTCCATCGTTCCCCACAGGAACATTGAAGCCGCCCAGTAATACTGTGGAGTCGGTCGGAGGCATTCTATCGAGCACTTCACCCACCGTCTCCAAGAAGGCCGAATACTCTGAACTGCTGTGTGGTGCACAAGCACAGCAAACAGTCAGAGTTTTCCTTTCTGAGACCCGAAGTCTCATTGAGGTGACCTGCTCATTCACTGGGACAAACTCCAACCGACCAGAACCCAGCCGGGGGGCTTGTGAGTATCCCCGCGCCCACACGGGGCCACTCACCAGGGGTTACTCCAGGATAGGAGAGACCACCCCCGATCGAGAAGTTTGACATCCAGTGTCAATGCTGTGTGTGGAGGTGACACCGACTACATCTAGTCGGTACCTTTCCACCGCCTACGCCATCTCTGGCTCCTCCCCCCCCCCCCCCCCCCCCCCAGTGACGTGACATTCTATGTCCCAACAGCAAGTGTCTAAGGCCCGAGGAGCAGGCCGCCTGAGACCATCCCTTTCCCTGCCGCATTGGCATCGCACACCCGCCCCTCGCCCTTCGTCCTGCGGACGGTGGGTCCACAGCACGGCGCCACGTAGCCATTTAAGGCTGGGCCCGACCGGGTTACGTGGTGGGGTCACCCGGCTCACCGGGCGCTGGCCGGCGAACACCACCCCCAGGCCTGGCTCCAGGGGTGTGTCCCGGGTATCCCTTGTCTGGGCGAGCTTCTCTGATTGTTGTGTTTCTTAACAATTCACGAGGGGCTTTTTTTTTGGTACCGTTTTTTGTTTGTCTGGAACCTCCCCGCAGGCCTGTTCGCCAAGGGAGACTCTACAAGGAGTACGAGACTCCAGGCGACATGGCTCTGTGGGTCATTGGAACGCCCTCGTGTGTGTGTGTGTTGTATGGCAATGTGTGGTTTTGTGTGCGTATGTGGTTGTGTGCTGTGTGCGTGGTTCTGTGGTTCTGTGTGTTTTGTGGGTTCTGTCTCTGTGAGCTGTGTGTGTGGTTCTGTGTGGAGCCGTGATGCAGCGGTTAGCGCGCTGAGCTACAAACCCGGTGGCCCGAGTTCGATTCCCGCTCACGGCCACCAACACCAGTGACTATTAATTATCTGAACCGGGCCCCAGGCCTCCCCTAGGACGACTCAGCCTCAAATGAGTACCTGGCGCGGTGTGTAAACATCACCACTTGGAAGACAAAGGCATGGTGCTGGCCACCCACCCCCTTGTGTACCGTGCACTTTCCCCAACAATCTGTTAAGGCTACATGGGGGATCTTTGTCTTTGTGGTTCTGCGTGCGTGGTTTTGTGTAGGTATGTGGTTTTTAGATTTTAGTGGTAATTAAATTGAATGTGGAGGGGTTACCAGCCCCTCGCACCCGTCGAGGGCCACCAAGTGCCAAGAGGGGGAATTGCCGATTGAAATTAGAATCAGAAAGGGTTTTATCAGCGCTGTGGTGGCATTGCTCACCACAGCGCTGTCGTCCGGCACCACCGAGGAATTACTTGGCACAGTAGGGGGGCACAGGTGGTGCATCGGCCAGTCTTCTCAGTCAGTCGACCCACGGCACCCGGGGCTGTCGCTTGACCTCCAGCCAGTGGGCGTTTGTTACTTCACGTGGCCTAAAAGTGCACATAGCCTGGCACAAGCGCCGTGGCGACGTCACCTTCACTTAGTGGCGAATGGCGTTTGTTGTTGTTGTTGTATGTGGTCGTGTGCTGCTGTATGTGGTTCTGTGTGGGCAAGCGGTTACCTGCTGCTGCTGCTGCTACTACTGCTGCTTGTGGTACCACTCGCTACCGGTGCCCTGCTGATGCCCCCATGCCCCCCGGCCCCGCCCCCGCGTGCCCCCCCCCCCCCCAGCATCTCGAGCCAAGCTGGGGATGCTCAACACGATGTCCAAGATCCGCGGGCAGGTGAAGACGACCGGCTACCCCCAGCCCGAGGGTGTGCTGGGAGATGCGATGCTGCGCTTCGGGCACGAGATGGGCAACGAGTCACACTTCGGTCAGTGCCTTGCCCCCGCGCGCCGTCTCGCTCGCCACCGCTCACCGCTCAACTCTCACCACTCAACTCTCACCACTGACCCCTCACTACTCACCTCACACCGCTCAACTCTCACCTCTCACCACTCACCTCTCACCACTCACCTCTCCCCACTCACCTCTCACCACTGACCTCTCACCACTCACCTCTCCCCACTCACCTCTCACCACTCACCTCTCACCACTGACCCCTCACCACTGACCCCTCACCACTCACCTCACACCGCTCACCGCTCACCTGTCACCTCTCACCACTGACCTCTCACCGCTCACTGCTAACCTCTGACCTCTCACCACCCACCTCACCGCTCACCTCTCACCCCTCACCTCTCACCACTGACTTCACCCGCGCCCAGGGTGGTGAACGAGCCGTGTATGCGCTGTGCCTCCCACCCCCCCTCCCACCCCCCTCCCACCCCCCCACCTCCCCTCCCACCCCCCCTCCCATCCACTCCCCCCCCCCCGCCATCTCCTCATCCCCCCCCCACCCCCGCCACAGGCCAGGCCCTCGTGGACGTGGGCGAGTCCCTGAAGCAGCTGTCGGAGGCCAAGGATGCGCTGGACATCAGCGTCAAGCAGAACTTCATTGACCCCCTGCAGAGCCTGCAGGACAAGGAACTCCGTGAGATCGGGGTGAGTGCCGGAGCGGGGTGGTGGGGGGGTGGTGGTGGGGTGGTGGGGGGGGGGGGGGACGTGGTGGTGGTGGGGGGGCGGAGGGGTCAGGTAAGAAGCCTCAAATGAATCTTGACTTGAAGCTTTCGTGACTGCAGGAATTCATATTCTTTGGGTCTTCCGGTAAAGTCACGTAGGTGGGTTGAGGAGATGACTGCTTGTGTTGTGATCGAAACGTCGTAGTTTTTTTTGTCATTTTCTTTCAACCTATCTCCGTGGCTTTACCGAAAGGCCCAAAGAATACTCCTCATTGAGCCGCAAAGCCTCTTTGTTGGGTTTCGTGTCTTTCACGAAAATATTTTGCCTGCAAAAAAAGAAATCCATCAAGATGCAACACCTTGGTAAACGGATGATATCTTATATGATAATAGGGTTTTTCCCCTTTTTTCTGGCAACAAAACTGAAACCTTTTTACAAGGATTCATGTCTGCATTAACCACAATACCTGCAGTCAAAATGCAAAGAAAAAGCATACTATGATAACATATGCATTGTCTTTGAAACTGGTTGTGGACCAAACACTGATTGTGGACCAATCGGTTTCAAGGACAATGCATATATTATCGTAGTATGTTTTTTGTTTGCATTTTGACTGCAGGTATTGTGGTTAATGCAGTAACATGAATCCTTGTTAAAAAGGTTTCGGTTTTGTTGCCAGAAAACAAAGGGGGAAAAACCCTATTATTACATTTTGGTACTGGCAAAGGAGCTCTAATGATGGATGATATCTTGCGATGATGCTGTTGCTTCTAGATTTAAAGCTTTCGTGACTGCAAGGATCCATACTCTTTGGTTCTATTGGGTAAAGTCACGTAGGTAAAAAATTAAATAACAAAAAATCACGACGTTTCGGCCACAACACAAGCGGCCTTCATCAGGTGAAGGGACGAGACTGTCTGGAGGACAGCGCTGGAGTGAAAAAAGCCACGCTCAGATCACGACCTTTAAGCTGTGTGAGAAGAAACAAAGCGCCTTGACAAAGGAATTAGCATATAATTTAGCATTGAAATGGCTGAGTGATTAGCTTGTGACTGGTCACAGAAATGGCTATGTTAAAGCATACACATCCGCAAAGGCACCCCTTGATAAAGGAATTAGCACAGAATTTAGTATTGAAATAGCTGAGTGATTAGCTTGTAACTGGTCACAGAAATAGCTATGTTAAAGTCAGAGCATATACATTCACCGAGGCACCTAGTACAAATCAAACAGGAGAATTTAGCGAAACACAACCACGCTCAGACCGCGGACCTTTAAACTGTGTGCGAGCAAACAAGGAGTCCTGTTGCTGTTGGGTTTTTGTCGTCGGCAGTGGCGTTGCCCCAGGTGTTAAACGTGTTGTATAGGAAGGGCCATCTCCCCCAAAGCCTCCCGTTGTAGTATCACTTCGGGGGGTGGTAGCACCGCCGTCACAGAAACATCCTCGATGCAAATTCACGCGGGAGCTTCGCGCGCTGGACATTTCCACGATTTAGGCGACCACCAGCGAAACGCCGCCTCGCGCAGACGACGAGACGAGGGCAGAGGGAAGCCTGTGGGCGAGACGAGATTGAGGTTGATGTGTTGCGTGACCCCGGTGGGAACTCGAGAGACCAGGACGGGAGCCTCATTTGCAAGAGTGACCCTGGGGGGTGCTGTCAGGAGCAGGGGGCGATGATTACGGCTGTTGCTGCTGCTGCTGCTGCTGCGTAGAAAACCAACCGAGTAAATTTACGAACTAGAATTTTGGTACTTTGGTTCTATTCGGTAAAGTCACGTAGGTAAAAAATAAAAAAAAAGTGACTTTACCGAATAGAACCAAAGAGTATGGATCCTTGCAGTCACGAAAGCTTTAAATCTAGAATTAGAATTTTGGTGTCCTTATTCCAGCTCCTGCGGAGGGCCTCTCAACGCCTCACGCCTCGCCCGTCGCCCCCACTGATGTCCTCTTATTAACCCCCCCCCCCCGCCAATGTCTGCAGATACTACTGACTCTATTGTATGGTGGGTGTGTAGACGTATATGCCTGTTAGATCAACTTTTTACCCCCATATCTGGGGGGTGGGGGGGGGGTCCACTTTCTATAACTTTTTGATTCAGACCTTCTGAAGGGCTCTCACCATTTAGTTGACGGACAAACGGACAAACGAAACGCCGGCCTTTTATGATGGGAAGATTTGGCAAATTTTCACCCCGACGGCACGGAATGGTGCCGACCCTTGCGAGCGGCGTCGCGGGAACATCAACGTACCGCCGTGACTCGTGTCCACGCGGTTCGTGCTCGCGCACGCGCGCACCGCGGCCATTAACCAGGGCGGCCGTCCAAATTCGAAGAGCGAACCTCCGCAACGAGCGGAGAACTGCCGGGGCCCCGGCGTCGCCGCCCCGGCGTCGAATCGCGATCTCGGCGGAGGATGGGACAGGACCTGGGGGGCCTAGACGTTAGCGCTGGCTGGCGCCCCCCCCCCGTCTAGACGTGGGTTGTGTGTACACGTGTGTGTACACGTGTGTGTGTGTACGTGTGTGTGTACGTGTGTGTGTGTGTACACGTGTGTGTGTGCACGTGTGTGTGTGTACGTGTGTGTGTGTGCACGTGTGTGTGTACGTGTGTGTGTACGTGTGTGTGTGTACACGTGTGTGTGTGTGTGTGTACACGTGTGTGTGTACGTGTGTGTGTGTACGTGTATGTGTGTGTACGTGTGTGTGTGTGTACGTGTATGTGTGTACGTGTGTGTGTGTGTGTACGTGTATGTGTGTGTACGTGTGTGTGTGTACGTGTATGTGTGTGTACGTGTGTGTGTGTACGTGTATGTGTGTACGTGTGTGTGTGTGCACGTGTGTGTGTGTGTGTGCACGTGTGTGTGTGTACGTGTGTGTGTACGTGTGTGTGTGTACGTGTGTGTGTGTACGTGTGTGTGTGTACGTGTGTTGTGTGCACATGTGTGTGTGTGTACGTGTGTGTGTGTACGTGTGTGTGTGTGTGTGTACGTGTGTGTGTGTGTACGTGTGTGTGTGCGTGTGTGTGGGGGAGCGTTGGTGGTAGAGGTTAGCGCTACGACGCGCTAAGAACCCTGCGACCCGGGTTCGATTCCCGCTCACGACCAACACCAGTGACGATTATTTGAACCGGTCCTGGTCCTCCTCTATGGCGACTCAGCCTCAAATGAGTACCTGGTGCGGTGTTGTAAACATCGCCACTGGGGAGACAAAGGCGGCCAGGCGTGGCACTTGCCACCCACCCCCTCGTGTGCCGTACCGGCCTTCATAAGCTCTACTCGCTAACAGCACTTGCACCAACCAGTCTGTTAAGGCTATACGGGGGATCTTTGCCTTTGTGTCGGCTGCAGCACCACCTGAAGAAGCTGGAGGGCCGACGCCTCGACTTTGACTACAAGAAGAAGCGGCAGGGCAAGGTGGCCGACGACGAGATCCGCCAGGCGGCCGAGAAGTTTGACGAGTCTCGCGACGTCACCGCCACAAGCATGAGCAACCTCCTGGAGAGTGAGGTACGGGGGGGCTGGGGGGGGGCAGTGGAGGCGGGGAGGGGGGGGTGCGAGGACATGTGGTGGTGGCAGGGAGGAAAGAGAGAGAGAGAGCTTGCTGGAGGCTAAGATTTTTCACATTCACGATTACGGCACGTGGCCCGCATTTCGAGGCAATGTCAGAGACAGGTGGGCACGTAGGCTCGCACAGAGATCCATGGACCGACATAGAGACCCACAGGCTCGCACAGAGACCCACAGGCTCGCACAGAGATCCATGGACCGACATAGAGACTCACAGGCTCGCACAGAGATCCGTGGACTGACATAGAGACCCACAGGCTCACACAGTGATCCATGGACCAACATAGAGACCCACAGGCTCGCACAGAGACCCACAGGCTCGCACAGAGATCCATGGACCGACATAGAGACCCACAGGCTCGCACAGAGACTCACAGGCTCGCACAGAGATCCATGGACTGACATAGAGACCCACAGGCTCGCACAGAGATCCATGGACTGACATAGAGACCCACAGGCTCGCACAGAGATCCATGGACCGACATAGAGACCCACAGGCTCACACAGAGACCCACAGGCTCACACAGTGATCCATGGACCGACATAGAGACTCACAGGCTCGCACAGAGACCCACAGGCTCGCACAGTGATCCATGGACCAACATAGAGACCCACAGGCTCCAACAGAGACCCACAGGCTCGCACAGAGATCCATGGACCGACATAGAGACCCACAGGCTTGCACAGAGATCCATGGACCGACATAGAGACCCACAGGCTCGCACAGAGATCCATGGACCGACATAGAGACCCACAGGCTCGCACAGAGATCCATGGACCGACATAGAGACCCACAGGCTCGCACAGAGATCCATGGACTGACATAGAGATCCATGGACCGACACAGAGACCCACAGGCTCGCACAGAGACCCACAGGCTCGCACAGAGACCCACAGGCCCGCACAGAGAACCACAGGCTCGCACAGTGATCCATGGCCTGACATAGAGACCCACAGGCTCGCACAGAGACCCACAGGCTCACACAGAGATCCATGGACCAACATAGAGACCCATAGGCTCGCACAGAGACCCACAGGCTCGCACAGAGATCCATGGACTGACATAGAGACCCACAGGCTCGCACAGAGACCCACAGGCTCACACAGAGACCCACAGGCTCGCACAGAGACCCACAGCCCCGCACAGAGAACCACAGGCTCGCACAGTGATCCATGGCCTGACATAGAGACCCACAGGCCCGCACAGAGACCCACAGGCTCGCACAGAGATCCATGGCCTGACATAGAGACCCACAGGCTCACACAGAGACCCACAGGCTCACACAGAGACCCACAGGCTCGCACAGAGACCCACAGCCCCGCACAGAGAACCACAGGCTCGCACAGTGATCCATGGCCTGACATAGAGACCCACAGGCCCGCACAGAGACCCACAGGCTCGCACAGAGATCCATGGCCTGACATAGAGACCCACAGGCTCACACAGAGACCCACAGGCTCGCACAGAGACCCACAGGCCCGCACAGAGAACCACAGGCTGGCACAGCGGGTCTCCGTGTAAGTCTTCGTGTCCCTGCGTGAGTGTGGTTCTCTGTGCGAGTCGGTGGGTCTCTTTGAGAGGCTTACGGCTCTCCGCGATGGGTGAAGAAGCGGCGAGAGGGACAGAGCGCAGGAGGGACGAGAGGGATGTGGGGCGCGGCGGCGAGTGGGAGCGACGCTGGCGCTGTTGTGCATCGCAGGTGGAGCAGGTGTCCCAGCTGGAGGCGCTGGTGGAGGCGCAGCTTGAGTACCACCGGCAGGTGGTGGACATCCTGGACGACCTGCAGAGCACGCTGCAGGACAGGTCAGCGCCCCCCCCCCCCGCCCCCACGCTTCTGGCTGCTCCACCCACCCACCCCACCCACCCCACTTCCTCCACACCCCCACGACGAAACGCCGACCCACACGCATACCGTGTCAACTCAACACGGTTTACCACGTATTCTTGTGTAGGGGAATTGAGTTTTCAGGCCCACACGGCGTGCAGCCGTTTCAATACGGGCAAACACACATTTCTTCGTGTATGTTTGTTTGCGTTTCTCCCTAGTGATGGTGACTTTTTGGAGGATGAACGTTGAGATTTATAAGGGGCACGGGGTGACCAATAAGGTCTGAGTTGGTCTGTAATAAGGTAGGAGGCACTGATGAGGGGGTTGACAGCTGTGCGCACGTAGCAACACAAGGCGCTCTCCTGCAGCCCGACATCTTTGATTCGTAGTCCGCTATTTGGCGCGCAGGTCACGCATGTTCGGTTCTGCGCGACGACCCGGCCAAGTGCCGCGTGGTAAAATTCGTCGGCGCGTGTCGTGACGGGTACTGCAAGTTTTCGACCGTGTCCGTCCGGTGCTCGTCGGGCTGGACGTGTGTTGAACCTCTTTTGCGCCACCGTACGTAGCCAACCGTGATAATCGGAGGTGCAGTGTGGAGTAGTGTTAGTATAGGGGTAGTGTTAGTCTATGGGGAGTGTTAGTCTATGGGCAGTGTTATTCTATGGGCAGTGTTAGTCTATGGGGAGTGTTAGTCTATGGGTAGTGTTGGGTCTATGGGCAGTATTGGGTCTGTGGGTAGTGTTGGGTCTATGGGCAGTGTTAGTCTATGGGCAGTGTTAGTCTATAGGCAGTGTTAGTCTATAGGCAGTGTTAGTCTATGGGCAGTGTTAGTCTATGGGTAGTGTTAGTCTATGGGCAGTGTTAGTCTATGGGCAGTGTTAGTCTATCGGCAGTGTTAGTCTATGGGGAGTGTTAGTCTATGGGCAGTGCTAGTCTATGGACAGTGTTGAGTCTATGGGCAGTGTTAGTATAGGGGTAGTGTTGAGTCTATGGGCAGTGTTAGTCTATGGGCAGTGTTAGTCTATGGGCAGTGTTAGTCTATGGGCAGTGTTAGTGTATGGGCAGTGTTCGGTCTATGGATAGTGTTAGTCTATGGGCAGTGTTGAGTCTATGGGCAGTGTTAGTTTTAGTCTATGGGCAGTGTTAGTCTATGGGCAGTGTTGAGTCTATAGGCAGTGTTAGTCTATGGGCAGTGTTGAGTCTATGGGCAGTGTTAGTCTATGGGCAGTGTTGAGTCTATGGGCAGTGTTAGTCTATGGGCAGTGTTGAGTCTATGGGCAGTGTTGAGTCTATGGGCAGTGTTAGTCTATGGGCAGTGTTGAGTCTTTGGGCAGTGTTGAGTCTATGGGCAGTGTTAGTCTATGGGCAGTGTTGAGTCTATGGGCAGTGTTGAGTCTATGGGCAGTGTTGAGTCTATGGGTAGTGTTGAGTCTATGGGCAGTTAGTCTTTGGGCAGTTTGTTTGTTAAACTATTTGGCACGTAGCTAACTGTGATAATCGGAGCTGCATTGGCTTCCATTTAGCGAACAAATACATTGTAAGGTCCCGCTCATCACACACGAAATATTTATCTGAAATGAACCACAATGCCTCGCTGATCTCATCAAGGGGCGTGACCCATCATGACGCGAACTCTGCTCATCCTCACAGCAGCAGCGGCTTTTGGCGGGCCACCGAACAAAGGCGGTGGTCGCCGCAGCATCGCGCGGCGCTTTCAGAAGCGCTTCTGCGGCCGTCTGGAACGCCCTTCCCTTCCGATATGAGGAAGCCACTGGGAGCTGCGATGCACTTTTAAATCATCATCGTCAACTAGATCGACAAACTCATTTCTGTAGAGCTGCTTTTTGTTGTGTTTCATGCTGTTGTCCTATCCCTTCACACCACCGGTTTAGCACGGCTGTCTACCTACGGTGTGAAAGAAGTTCAACGTAGATATGTAATGACGACTAGACACACTTCTCTTGAGATGGCACTTTACTGAAGACACGGTCACTTGACATCAGGCGGAGACCCCCACTGCAACAGCCCCGAGTCTCCCACGCATCTCCCTTTTATGCCAACCGAGGCCACGCCCCCCTTCTAGAGCATTCTCGCTGACTCTGGACGCTCGCTCCACCAGTAGACTCCACCGTCCTCTTCCGTCACCTGACCACGCTCCCTTCTCGATC